CAACAGGGGGCTCAAACACAGCAATTGTTGTGAGGATGGCGCAGGTCCAGGCAGTGTTTCCTTCTGTTGTACACAGTGTAGCGGTCGCTGTAAGGCTGAACCAACTCAGTGGCACCTAACAACAACAAGTAGCACCTTACCTAGTAACAGAGGTTCATACACACAGAGAGGAATCAAAAAAGGAAAAGCCTACAGGTTGCTCTTCCTGGCCAACTTACTATATCGGAAAGAGACTGATACTCTACAGAGGTATGACCTGGCAGGTTGCTCTAGTAATTCTGAACAGACATTAGTGTGCATTTATTTGAAAAGGCCTTGCTTAGATCATTGTCATTTGAATCGGTATATTGTTCTCCCCTTCCAGTTCTCCTAAGTGAATAGTCTTTTTGCCTCGTTTTTTAATATGAAAAAATTCAGACATACAGAAAAGTTGAAAGAATAGTACCCTGTTACCTAGATTCAGCAATATTGATGTGTCCTTGAGATTAAAAAAAAAAAAACAGCCCCACTGCTGTCGAGCTGATTTCAAATCATAGTGACCCAACGGGACAGAGTAGAACTGCCCCAAAGGGTTTCCAAGGCTGTAAATCTTTACTGAAGCAGACTGCCACATCTTTCTTCTGTGGAGTGCTTGGTGGTTTCAAACTGCCACCTTTTGGTTAGCAGCTGAGCGCTTTAACCACTGTGCAACCAGGGCTCCTGTCCTTGAGATAGTCTTCAACTAAAACCTCGAACATCAATATTTCTACATATTTTATAGCAGTTACTAATCACCAACTTCCTGAGTCATACTTGTTCTTCTTGTGTGCCATCAAGTCAATTCCGACTCATAGCGACCCTTAAGATGGTACAAATGCCCCATAGGGTTTCCTAGGCTGTAATCTGTATGGAAGCAGATCTCCAGGTCTTTTCTCCAGCAGATCCACTGGGTGGGTTCGAACCGACTGCCAGACTTTTGGTTAGCAGCCAAATGCTTAACCTTTGGGCTATCAGGGCCCCTATCAAAACATGCTAGATGCAAAATAAATATTTGCCAAGTGAGAAAACACTAATAACTGCAGCTTCAGTCAGTTCTGGTAATACATAGAAGATATTCTGAATATGTAAAAGATATTCAGCCTCTCTTTATTTCATTCAGTGTTTATTGAGTCTGCTCTGTGCCATGTGCTGGAGAGGATGTTAAATGGCAGAAGATGAATAAGATATGGTCCTGCCTTCCAGGAGCTCACTGTCTACAGAAAGAGGCAGATGTGTAAATAATCCATGTATTACAATGTGACTGAGGAGTGCAGCTCACTCGTGTAGAGAACTAATGCTTTTGCAAAGGAGAACGTGTGTGTTCCAGGACCTCAGATAAGTGGAATTTTGATGAAGAAGATTTCAGACAGAATGAACAAGAGATACAAAAGTTGAGCGATACAAAGAGAGCACATCACACGTTTGGAGGGATGGCTAGAGTGTAGGGTAATAGAAAGATTTTCAAGTAGAAACATGATACCCTGATTTGTTTTTAGGGAGAGAATTCTGCCACAATATAGAGAATGGTTGGAGCTGGGAGTGAGGGATTAGAGGCAAGAGTGTGTTGCCTCTCTCACAGTCACGAGTACCACCTGCTGTCGAGTGCATTCCGACTCACAGCAACCCTGTGTGTGTCAGAGTAAAACTATCCTCCATTAGGTTTTCAGTAGCTGATTTTTCAGAAATAGATCATCAGTCCTTTCTTTCAAGACAGCTTTGGATGGACTCGAACTTCCAGCACTTCAGTTAGCAGCCAAGCATGTTAACTGTTTGCACCACCCAGGGACTCTGTCATAAGAGTAGATCCACTCATTTAACAGATTTTTATTGAGGGTATACTGTGTATAAGATAATGGCCCCTACTATTACTGAGTTTATCATCTTCGTACTAGCCATCTGTCTGCTTACAGTTCTACCAACCAGTTTTCTTTTATGCTAATTCCCTCTATTTTCTCCTTTATTCTGTCAGATTTCTACTGTGTAATAACTAGGAAACTGTTGTATTAATTGCCCCCTCAAATCAGATGAGAACCAAAATAAGTTTCTCTAGAGATAAAAATGAAGGAATAAACCATATCTCTTCTGTCTTTGTATATCCAACAGCTGACAAAGTGTCTGAAATATTATAGGCTTTAAACAATTCAATGAATCGTTGAGATATTTAGAAAGTAAAATTAACAGGAATAAGTAACCTATACGATATGGTGGGTGTGAAAAAAAATGGAGGTAGCAAAAGTTGCTCCAAGGTCTCCTGGTTATAGGTAATGAGATGGATGATGATGTCATCAGCTGAGGCAGGAAATAAGATTGGGAGAGAGGAGAGGTAGAGAGGAGAGATAATAACAAATTCATTTCTGACATGTTGAGTTGGAGATGTCTGTTATGCGGTTGATGTGGTTCTTAAGCTTCAAAATCTTCATATATACGTAATCTAGTTGAACTTTTGGTTCACAAGGGTTTGAACACGACGAGAATTGTTGCAATGTTGAAAAATAATTTTGGTAGCACCACTAGCCAAAATATATAATGTTTGGAAAATTCTTTATTCAGAGCTGCTTCTTTGGATATATACTACTTGAGATTTATCTTTCTGGATTTAAATTGGTACATGTAGCATCAAATGAACGACAAATGATAACTAATAACTTTTGTCAGAAATATTGGTCAGAAAATTAACAAGGACATATGATAGTGGTAATGAGAGTGGGGAGAGAGACTCAGAAGAAAAAACTGAACCAGAAAAAAGATAGATGTATAAAAAGAATTTTAAAGCTGTTTAGTTCTTTGGATAATATGGTAGGGGGTTTCTTGTGTTGGGGTTCCCCCCCTTTCTTTTCTTGGCTGTGAGCCAAGTATATACTTTCATCTAGAATTATATTTTAAACTTTAAAGAGTTGCTTATAGTCTTATTTGGCAGCCTAAATTAGTTCCTACAAGAATGCAAGTTTTCATATGGGGATTATATAGTTAATATATTATTAATAAAATAAGCATTTAAATAAATTTGATTCCCCTGCTATGTAAAAGTTTGTCTTTTCACTGGATTCTGTGATAAACAATTCTAAATCCCGATCTTCGCAAGGTAGAAATAAATGGTATACCTCTCTTGCCTTTTTATAGTGGTCTTCCTTTAATTCTTTTGTGCAAAAGCATGAATGTTTTATATTATTGTTATAACAATTCTAAGTTTGTCAGATTCCAAGTTACTTAAGAGACTTAATTATACGTTGTGATTCATCTGAACCAGAATCATAAAATATATATGTGTACAGTATTTTGACAACCACAGTACATTTTAAGGAAAAAATAATATCACTTAAAATATTTCCTTTACCCTGTCTTCAGCAAGCAGAGAAGGTTTTTCTGAAGTGAGATTAGACAATAGAGCCAACTTCATTTTTTATGCACGTGAACGGAGAGGGGCTTGAGGTTATTAGTTGAAACCGAGTAACCTTTCTGGGCTTTCATCTCTTTCTTTTCAAATTTGAATATGAAAAGCATATTCAAGTCAAAGACCATCACTTTAATGACATTTGGCAGTCATTTGATTTATTAGGTTTTAGAAAAAATTTTCCTTTAAATATTTCATCATACTATGCTAATCCTAGTAATATTGCCAGCTGCAGCCTTGTACCTGTATTAGTGGAGACAGAATGGTGTGGAATTTTCTCTGTCATCCTAGTAAAATTTCCATGAATCTACTGAATAATAAAATAACCTTATTGAAATATTCAGATTTGAGTTTTTAGTTAAAGTATCTTAGAATACATAATAAAAGAAAATGTGTTTTAAAGAAGGGGGTAAAATTACTTCATCAAATATTGAGGGGGTTTGACAGCAATGGAAATTGTTCTTTATGGAGATATTTTTACAATAGGATACTTAGGCTTTTCAATTTGATTAATTATATTATATGCTTTGAAATACCTAAGTAATCACTGTGGTGAATTTGCACTCAGATTTGTATTTAACAGTGAATTCCTAAAAGCTGGTCGTATAAACAGGTCTTATTTTCAGGTTTTCCTGATTTCTGTTTGAAGTTGTATAATTTACAGTAGCATGCCTCTGAATTTGGTAAAAAGGGATTTTGACAATAAAGAGCAACCTTAAAATTGTAACTAGAAATAATAATAACTGAAAGATATCTTGGTGCAATCTAATTTTTTAAATCATATTCTGTTAAGTATTTGAAATCATTACTCAGGGAAACATTTGTGACTACCAGAATAATGTCCATGGAACCAGAATCTTTTAAACAAGGATTGAAATAAAAAATAAAACATGCAAACAGTATCTGTTTTAGTTGCTAATCCTATAGAAATGAAATGGAAAATAAATTGCAAGAAAGTCCGTAAGTGTTAAATTAGATATAAAATTGTGTATCTCTTGTATTTGAAAACATACTACTTATTGAGTGAAATATGTTTTGGCAGAATGTATGAGAGAATGAACTGCAGTTTCTGCTCTAGTTAATATGGATTTATATAGCTACATATATTAGCATAATAGCTATAAAGTATTCAACAGGCTTTGGTCTCCGAATAACTGAAACTTTCCCAGATACTGTCGATTAAATAAAAGCGGTGATAAACATGTACTTCGTTACGTAGTTTGAAGCAAAGCCAGCTGATACTTGTCATTCTGAAAGCAATCGGAGATGAAGATCTCATAATCTTCATTCCTCATAGACTACTAGTGGGGTATTTATAGCCTCAAATGTAAATCAGGAGACTATTGCCATGACACTGTTAACTTCAAACCCTGGGGCATTAGAATCTCATTCTCTCCTCTCTGTCGTCAATAATCTATCATGTGTAACTATACAGTAGTGTACAATGCTTTCCAAAAAAGAAACCCATTGGCCTTCATCCTTTATTTAAAATTGATGGTAAAAGAGAATAAAGTATTTGGGACTGGTTTTCTGGTTCCTTATTTGTTTTTTGGGTTTTTAATTTTTGTTGGTTGTTCTTTTCTTTAAACAGCCATCAGAAAAAATTCGAATTGAGATCATAGCTCTTAGCCTTAATGATTCTCGAGTAACCAAAGATGACAGTATTCAACGGCTGTTTGTTGAGTGCCGATTCTACAGTCTTCCTGCTGAGGAGACACCTGTGTCACTTCCAAAACCCAAGAGTGGGCAATGGGTTTACTATAACCACAGCAATGGTACGTATGATTCATTTGTGATATAGACTGTTTTTGTCTTTTTTATCTAGGAAGGAAGCTGAAAGAACAAAGAGAAAGTTAAATTCTTTAGCGTTCACATAAACTCATGGAAGTCTTGTCAGAGTAGATGGATTAATGTCAAACCTGTAGCATAGGATTAGCAAAATGAATTTCAAATATTATTAAAGTTAAGAGAAAACAGGAAGAATAGGAAAGCAATGTTTCTAGCTGTTCCTCCTGTATAGTAGTATCCATAGAAAATACCACCTGGCCTGTAATTGAATTAGTAGAAAAATATGATATTTCAAGGAAAAAAAAGTACTAGTTTTTTTAATAATTCAAACCATTTAATGGCACAGTTTTTTTCTATCTTTCTGCTCCATGTCTTATTCACATGTTTACAAATACGTATCTATCTCTTCTAGTGTCTAAGATGTTCAGGATTTTAACTGAGTGAAGCATAAGTTCTTACAATGCTTTTTCATCATTTAGCCCACACATCTATTCATAGGAGTAGGCAGGTTTCCCCTTTTAAGGGCTTAATACCAGCCCGTTGACATTTAAGTCTACTTGACCAATACCGAGCCGGTAGGGGCCTTGTAAATTCTTAGATCAATCACCTTTAAGGAGTTTTTAAGAATAGTATGTGATCATCAGTGTATGCTTAGAGAAGAAATTTTAAATCATATTAAACCCTCATGACCCTAACTCAAAACTATTTATTAAGCTATCTTATATCTTTATGTTAAAATAAACCATAAAGATGGAGTATTGTGTTCTCTTTAACAAAACAGGTCAGTTCATGCTGGTGGAACACTAGTATTTTCTCACCAGTATTAGAGATTGCATTATAATCAGCATGTATACTCATGCTATTGTCTCACTGGGATTACAGATGCTCATGGTTGCTTTTTTTTTCTTTTTGCAAGTGACATTTTTAGAAGTGTGTTTGTTGTTAAAACAGCAGTCTTGAATATCCAGAGATGTAGTCTTTTCTCCCTGTATCCATGACTCTTACTAGTTCTGTGAACTTTGGCAAATTTCATGGTTCCCGCATTTCTTAACTATAAAGTGAGGAGTTCTCTAAGATCCCTTCCAACTCACATTCTGTAGTTCTTTAATATCAGGTGGGTTGAGAAACAAGTAGTGTGGTCTGGACAAGAATGTAATTCTTCCCTCCTTTCATTCACTTGATAGAAACATTTCCAAAACTGTTTTCTTAAGCTTGCTAGAGATCCTCAGCTGCAAAGTACCAGGAAAGTAAAACATCAAAATATCATCAATAATGAAAGAACTGTCTAGTCAATTAATTTTAATGAAGAAATCCCAAGAAAAGAGACAGAGAAACTCTTTTAGTTTTTGTATTATTCTTCATAAGGGTCAACGGTAAAACCTGTGGTTGAACTGGCAACAAAATTGTTTTTAATTTTTTAGAAATTGGTTGTACACTGAGGAACTTGGCCATGAAGCAGAACAGATGTTTCCATTTGCTTAAAGAGAAATGCAAATCCTTCTTTGGAATCAAACCTGTGATACATACTCAAGTCCTGAATTCTGTTCTTCTCACATGGTTATACCTGGATTTGTTTGGGGGGTTTTCTTGGTTGGTTGATTGGTTGATTTTTAATTTTTTTCCCTTTAGTGCAAGGTACTATGCTATCTGGCATTTTAAAAATTGCTTATGTTTCTAATGAATTAGCCATTTGATAGCAAGAAACCCAGTAATCTCTTAGAAATTAATTCAGAAGAAGTGTTTACTATAGCTTTCTTCAGCTTCTATTTATACCTAATGAGATTTGTCTATGTAGAATTTTCAGAGTTAATTGAAAAGAATTTTAAGGAGATGTACCTAGAAAGAGGGAAGAAGAAATGTACTTATGTTTAGAAGCAAAATATTGCTGTTTTATACCTACTGTATCTAAAAAAATTGGTATCATAGATCATAAGCAAATTTGAAAAATAATGTTAACCTTGTGGAAGGTTTTATTATTTTATTTTTCACTATTTTATTTTTCACTTACAGTATGACATAATGAAAATGTTTACTTTAAAATTATTTGCATCTCCTTCATTGCAGGGGGAATCCCCTTGAATCTTTAGTTAATAAGTAACTATCTAATTACTGTAATGATTTACTTGATATAGAAGGTCAGTATAATGTAACCTTACATCTTCCAAATCTCATTAAATGTTAATGAAAGTTTTTTATTTCCAAACTGACTTTTTAATTCTGATGGAAAATTTAGAAGACAATTAGTACACGCTGTCTGCTGTTTGAACACCATACCATTAGAGAGGTTAACTGAACCAGCAATGGATTTCCCTGCAATATTACTTGAACCTATACAAAAGGGATTTATATGCTGAGACCTAAATTGGGTACATTTATGAGGGGTTTAGTCTAGTGATCCCCAGGATCATTCGTAGTCTAATTCGGTCTTTATTAATAGTTGTTAATACCAGTTTCACCTATAGCAAAAAAGAAAAAAAAATCAATATACATATATACAGAGAGAGACCAAAAAAAAAAATTAAAAACAAAATCCATTGCCATCGAGTCAATTCCTACTCATAGCGACCCTGTAGGGCAGAGTAGAACTGCCCTATAGGGTTTACAAGGCTGTAATCTTTACAGAAGCAGCCAGCCACATCTTTCTCCTGCAGAGTGGCTGGTGAGTTCAAACCGCTGAGCACTTAACCACTGCATCACCAGGGCTCTTGATATATATATATATATATATATATACACACACACACACACACACACACACACACACACACACACATATATCTTCTTAGGGCTGCTATCAGTGAAAAAAACTGAAGTTGAATTCACTTGCTAGACATTGGTAGTAAACACAAAACATTTTTATTTTATTGGGCTTGAAAATATTGCTCAGAGAATGCTGAGAAGGCAAGAAAGTAGTTTGGAAAAAAGTAAGATTAATGGTAGGTCTGAAGAATGTTGTCTGGGCTAAATAAAGCCTTCTAGGGAATTGACAATGGGGAGAAGAAAGATTAATGAAATCGTCCAAAGTTTTTATGAGACTTATACAGATCTGGGCCCTTAGTCTCTGAGGACTGAGAAGTCTGTTTTTTGGAACAATTAAAATTTAATTCAGATGATGAAGAATATACAGAGCTTCAGATTTTGTTACTAATGGGAGGAGAAATTTGGCAAAGATAAGGATTACAAGGATGGTAACACTTTAATACAGAAGTTATCTGAGATTCAAGGTTATCAACCCTTTATTATTAAACCGTCTGCATTTCTTATTTTTGCCATTATGACATTGATAGGGAATATAAGGATTTCTCCACCCTACACAAGTGAAGGATGTGCTTTTAATGGTAGACAACTCAAAATCATCTCAAGCATATGGACTACTGGTTTGTTTTTTTTGTTTTTTTTTTTTTTTTTGAGACATACTTGAGTAAGTTTATATCAAAATCCAGCAAGTCCTAAACAAATATGACTTCTGATAAGAATGATAGGTAAACAGTTTGACTTTTTGAGAGTTCCGATAATTTTCAGAATCACTGGAGTCACTTTTTTAAAGATGTATTTGAAGTTTTGAAATTGTAGTGTTTTTTGTTTTGTTTTCTTTTGTTTAACCATCTAGACTTTTAGACAGGCTTCCAACTGGTTTAGTCATTGCCAGTGAAACGTGCCTGTTAGTTTGTTGTACTGTGGGGGCTTGCATGTAACTGTGATGCTGGAAGCTATGCCACTGGTATTCAGATACCAGCAGGGTCACCCATGGTGGACAGGTTTCAGGTGAGCTTCCAGACTAAGACAGACTAGGAAGAAAGACCCAGCAGTCTACTTCTGAGAAGAATTAGCCAATGAAAACCTTATGAATAACAGCAGAACATTGTCTGATACAGTGCCAGAAGATGAGCCCCCCAGATATGGAAGGTACTCAAAAGATGACTCAGGAAGAGCTACCTCCTCAGAATAGAGTTCACCTTAATGATGTGGATGGAGTCAAGCTTACAGGACCTACATTTGCTGATGTGGCACGCTCAAAATGAGAAGAAACAGCTGCAAACATCCATTAATAATCAGAACGTGAAATGTACGAAGTATGAATCTAGGAAAATTGGAAATTGTCAAAAATGAAATGGAACGCATAAAGATCGATATCCTAGGCATTAATGAGCTGAAATGGACTGGTATTGGCCATTTTGAATGGGACAGTCATATGGTTACTATGCCAGGAATGACAGCTTGAAGAAGATGGCATTGCATTGATCGTCAAAAAGAACATTTCAAGATCTATCCTGAAGTATAACACTGTCAGTGATGGGATAATATCCATATGCCTACAAGGAAGACCTGTTAATATGACTATTATCAAATTTACACACCAACCACTTAGGCCAAAGATGAAGAAATTGAAGATTTTTACCAGCTTCTGCAGTCTGAAATTGATTGAACTTGCAGTCAGGATGCATTGATAGTTACTGGTGATTGGAATGCGAAAGTTGGAAACAAAGAAGAAGGATCAGTAGTTGGAAAATACAGCCTTAGTGATAGAAATGATGCTGGAGATCGCATGACAAAATTTTGCAAGACCAATGACTTCTTCACTGCAAATACCTTTTCTCACCAGCATAAACGGTGACTATACCCATGGACCTTGCCAGATGGAATACAATACACAGGAATCAGATCGACAGCATCTGTGGAAAGAGACGATGGAAAAGGTCAGTGTCATCAGTTAGAACAAGGCCAGGGGTCGACTGCGGAACAGGCCATCAGTTGCTCCTATGCAAGTTCAAGTTGAAACTGAAGAAAATTAGAATAAGTCCACAAGAGCCAAAGTACGACCTTGAGGATATCACACCTGAACTTAGAGAGCATCTCAAGAATAGATTTGATGCGTTGAACACTAATGACCGAAGACCAGACGAGTTGTGGAATGACATCAAGGACATCATACATGAAGAAAGCAAGAAGTCATTAAAAAGACAGGAAAGAAAGAAAAGACCAAAAT